CAACTGGGCTGCTCTCCCTCCCTCCCTGGCCTCACTCACTCTCCTCCACTACCCTTCTGTTCTCACCCTGTGTGTGAGGGTCCATCCACATGGCTGGTTTGGATTCACTTCTATACAGCCTTTCATGCTGGGCCACATTCATCCCGACAAAATGGATCTTAATAACGCGGGGATTCCATTTAATTTATTTTTTAAATGTGTTTTATTAATTTTAGAAAGAGAGGAAGAGAGAGGGATAGGGACATAGAAACATTGAGGAGAGAAAAACATCAGCTGCCTCCTGCACGCCCCCTTTTTGGGGATGGAGCCCACAACCCAGGCATGTGCCCTGAGCAGGATTTGAACCAGTGACATCCTGGTTCATAAGTCAATGTTCAACCACTGAGCCACACTGGCTGGGCTGTGGCATTATTTTTAAACCAAGAAGAACAAAGTAAAAAAATAAAAAAGTCCTGATACCTGCTCCACATGGTCCAGCCCATTGCACATCTCCACCCTCCTACCACCTCCATGTGGCTTCTTCTTTGTATCCTTACCTGGGACCTTCTGTTCACCTAGATTCCAGGTGGTTCTGAATGCTGGTTGTTCTGTAGTTTAGTTGTGATTTCACTGTGGTCGTAGGTGGATTTCAGTACTTCCTTTACTTCCTCTGCTATCTTGAGCAGAAGTCATAATATTTTAATAATAAATAAGTAATTTTGAATTGTTGGCATCATTTTATTTAAAGAATGCATACGGATTGTTTTAAGTAGCTTTTAAAACATTTTCCAATCCAGTTTTAAATTGATTCAGATTTATTTGTTTTATACATTTACATCAATCAGTTTGGAGGTCACACTTGCATTTCCTATAGGAATAGTTACCACCATTGTTAATATTGGTAAATGAATCTGTGGGCCAATCACTAGCTGCAACAACAACCTTCCACCAGGAGCGATAGGGTCACTGTGCCTCAGTGTTTCTACCAAAGGGTGAGGGCTGATGCCGGCTGCACTGAAAGGCTCAACACCAGACGTGGCCACAGAGTCAGGAGAAGATCGCCTGAGAAAGCTGTTGTGTACATGGATCTGAACCCTTGAAGGACCACCTCTAATTAGATCAATTTCCCCAAAAGGATCAGCCTTGGAAGGATCACTGCCAACAAAAATATCAAACTGGAAACAAATCCAAGTCTGTACCTGCCAGTGACCTTGATGCTACAGTTGGTGGGTCTTCCTCATTTGAGGGTCTGGCACAGTTGAATTGAGGACAGACTTTTTCCTGGCAGCTACATCGCCAGTCCCTTCTCAGGAGCCACCCCTCCCCACACCTGCCTTCCCCACACTAATGTCTGTGACACTGAGCTGTGCATATGTGCATATAAGGCGCCCGGTTAATTTCTCCTCACCCACCCAGCCCCCTCCTCCTTCCCTGGAGATTCCACAGTTTGTTCATGTTTCTATGTCTCTGCATCTGTTTTATTCTTCAGTTTATATTGTTCCTTAGAATCCACATACCAGTGAGATCATGTGATACCTTTCTCTAACTGTTTTTATTTCTCTTAGCATAATACTCTCCAGGTCCCTCCACGCTGTCTCAAAGGGTAAAAAAATTCTTCTTTTCTACAGCTGCATAGCATTCCATGGTGTAAATGTACCAGCTTTTTTAAAATATATTTTTATTGTTTTTATTGATTTTTTACAGAGAGGAAGAGAGGGAATAGAGAGTTAGAAACATCGATGAGAGAGAAACATCAATCAGCTGCCTCCTGCACATGCCCCACTGGGGATGTGCCCGCAACCAAGGTACATGCCCTTGACCGGAATCGAACCCGGGACCCCTCAGTCCACAGGCCGAAGCTCTATCCACTGAGCCAAACTGGTCAGGGCAATGTACCAGCTTTTTTACCCATTCATCTGCTGGTGGGCCCTTGGGCTTTTCCAGATCTTAGCTATTTTAAATTGGGCTTCTATGAACATAGGGGTGTATATGTTCTTTCTGATTGCTATTTCAGAGTTCTTAGAATATATTCCCAGTGTGGGATCACTAGGCCAAATGGCAGTTCCATTTTTAATTATTTTAGGAAACTCCACACCATTTTCCATAATGGCTTCACCAGTCTGCATTCCGACCAGCAGTGCACCAGGGTTCCTTTTCTCCACATTCTCACCAACAATTGTCATTTGTTGATTTGTTGGTGACAGCCATTCTGACAGGTAAGATGACACCTCATAGTTTTTTATTTTCTGTCTCTCTGGTGATCAGTGATTGCACCGATTTCATTGATTACTATGGATTTCCAGCTCTTTCCTTTCCATTTGCATTGAACTGATTTCCTGCTATGAACCATGGGGAGCCACTGAGGAGGACCAAGGTGGCCCTGGCCTGACTCCACACTATCCTACAATTCTGCTGTTCCTTGACGAACATGGATGTTTATATCTCTGCCTTTACCTTCCTCTCTGTAATCAATAAAAATATATATTGAAAATAAAAACAAATAAGAATTCGATTTATTCCCCAAATCGGAGCAATAACACATTTGTTGTCACTGACTGTGAAGACAGGAGCCGGGACGAGGAGGAGAGATCTTCCTGAGGAACAAGGCACTGAGGGGAGGAGGGACTCAGAGGCGAGTTCCCAGGCTGCTGGGGAGGATGCTGTTGCAAGAAAGGGGAGTGACCAGGGGCTGGGATAGGAAGAGAACCACACTCTGGGGCTGAGGGGGAGACTGGTTTCCTTCCCTTATTTCCCTGCATTTGACTCTGAGCTCATTGTCACAGGACAGCGCCCTGAGCTGCACAGTTGGAGGGTGAGCGTGTCCCTGCTGATCTGAGCTCTGAAGTCCAAAGGGACCCACGTCTTCCTGAAGTGTCTCCAGGGCCCTGGTGGCACTGTCCATGGAGAGGACCACAGGGAGGTACCGATGGACGGGCTGAGGAGGAAGGAGACCCCGAGGGGGAGGCTCTGACAGGGTCACCTGCCTGCAAAGGCGTCTCAGGAGGCCCCGGGTCTATTTCCTGATCCATCGAGGAAATGAGAGCTAAACATCTGGGAGACACTGTTCCCCTTTTTGGGGGGCTGTTGAGGTGACAGCCTGAGGCAGGGAGGGCCAGCCTCCCGGTGCCACACCCTGTATCTCTCCATCCTGATGGCACCTTGGTTTCCTCCATCAACAGCCAGAATGAGACAAGAGACACCATGACCCCCACCCTCAGGGCCACGCTCTGCCCTGGTGCGATGTGAGCATTTATTTTCCAAGACGGCCTCTGGAATAAATAGAAAATCTGAAGCATTGTGGAACCAGTCAAAATGTCATCTGAAAGTGAAATCATCGCACACAAGGAACTACAGGCCCACCCAGTACGCAGCGAGGTCTTCTGAACAATCCGGGACATTGGACACTGCTGTCATAGACACTGTGGCAGAGCAAACGCATTTAGAGAGGCGAGACGAAGGTCTGAGAGGGATGTTTCTAGTCAAAATGCACACCTAGGGTTTCAACCTATAATTAGATGCAGAAAACTTTTAAAACTGGAAGAAGAGACTGGCCACGATGGCTTAGAGGTTGAGCGTCGTCCTATGAACAAGGAGGTCGTGGTTCAATTCCCAGTCAGAGCACGTGCCTGGGTTGGGGGCTCAATCCCCAGTGTGGGGCGTGCAGGAGGCAGCCGATAGGTGATTCTCTCTCGTCATTGATGTTTCTCTCTCCCTCTCATTTCCTCTCTGAAATAAATAATGTGTGTGTGTGTGTGTGTGTGTGTGTAAGTGTGCGCACAACCCCAGCACAGGTAGGCAAGGGAGCTTCGTAGACAGCACTGGGGTGGGGGACCTGATTTTACAGGTCGGCGAAAGATAATCGCCATAAAAAACAAATCCAATACCTCTCGGGTCGCGCGAACTCTGGACGCAAAAAAACGACCATGGAGCCTAAGGCGGATCGCCCGTACCATCCCATATATTTATGCTCTGTCTAAGGAAGAGAGTAAAGAAGGGTCATGTTTTCTCTACGTCGCTCTCGATCTTGAGATACCAGTGCACTTACGTGGTCGGCCGGCTAGAATACGGTAGTGGTATGTCCTCCCTGTA